CATCTCATCCTCAAGTGAATTTTGGAGTAACTTTTAAAATTACTGGGTTTTAAAGACACAGCTAAAATCACGTTTCCATGGTTACAGATAAATCTACTTCAACTGGACAAGGGATGTCTGGGTGTTTCCTTATGTCTGTATCATTGTATCGGTTATTAGCTACAATTTGGTAAGAGGTAGGGATGTATTTTTCAATGAAAACTGACATCCGTTGAATGCATGTCGTCTGGATTTTTTTTTTTAAATTTATTGTTAACGGCAAAAAAATTCTTACGGCATTTTTTTCTATTTGTAAATTTAAATATTTTCGGGGTCGTTCAGATTAGAATACTTTTTATTTAACTATGATTTGAAATATTCTCATTTTTAATTTTTATTATACTATATTTTTTATAAGAACAGTTAAATGTATTAGAATCCCTTATATTATGTAGGATTATTTTTACATCAAGTCGCTTGAGGATGAAATGGAACTAATGTCTTTAATTTAATTGCAAAATTGAATTCGTGGCTTTTAACTTCCATTTTAGAAACATGGTTGGAACTGTGTAGCGGAAAAAAACGTATTTTAAATCAATTAATTTATAATATTAATGCTCTGTAAATTTACATCGAGCACTATTTTGTAAAAATAAAATTACCTATAAGAACACCGGATTATATATCTTACTGTTCTTTCTTTTTATATATATATATATATATATATATATATATATATATATATATATATATATATATATATATATATATATAATATCAAATGGTTGGTATACGTGGGATAAAATTCTAATAACCAAAACACTTAAAAGAGTACCTTATACAAGCAGCATAACCCGTCTTTGGCCGGGTCTTTCATTACTGGGAATTTTTGCCGTTCAATTGGAGCAGTTTAAGTTTAAAGTCAGCCCACCTAAAAATCAATATTAGTAATAACATTTAAGTGCAACTGAGGTACATCCCCAAGTCGGGGGTTAACAATTTGAGTGGGGGGGGGGTTACCTCGAAAAGGGAACTGTATAATAATAAATAATATTATTGTAATAATTTAAACTATTTCTTTTTATTAAAGTTTTATGAAAGATACATATCTAAGAACAGATAGTAAATGGTAAAACGTTGCTGAGAGTAATAATGGACAGGAAGTAGTGGAGAGCCACTGTCACCATCAATTTGAACTCAAAACCGGAACTGAAGTATTATCTATCAAACAAAAAAAATTTCATCGAAATCGGATGGAAACTGTAAAAATGCATAAACAACATCCGATCACATACACATTTTGAAAATTATAGATTTAGATGCACGTTATAAAATCACTACAAATTTTGATTCAACATCATCACTTGACAAGACACCAGAAGTGATTTTATAACATGCATGTGTTATAAATTTGAATATATATATATAGGAAATCAAGAAATTATATAACTTGGAGAACTTCTGATTTACTGGGAGTATAATAGTGATTTCCAAGCGTAGCTCAGGAGTGGCACAAGGCCGAAAGCATGCGGCACCCAGTGAGGATCGAACTCACTACTCAGTCGTAAATGTTCTAGCGAGACAAGCTTGCTAACCATTACACCACCTCGAGGTGCCCCTGGGAGTATAATATAATCTTGACTTCTGTACAAAAGATTATATAGAAGACAGGTGACTGCAAAAAAGATAATTTCGTTTATATTTGATGACCCAAGAAAGAAATTAGCATCGGTAACGTAAAATAGAATGCAAATAACCCTTCTGTTCTCACACCCACTCGCTCACTCACCCAATTTAGGATAGATCTTGCTCGAAGCATCTCCAGATATCGGGGTCTTCTTCTGCTAGTGAGATTGCTAGGTCAAACGCATAGCTTACACGATTCTCGTCTGGGGAGGTTGACAAACCCGACCCCCTTATTATGAGGTCTACTAAGAATTATTCACCGGTCCTCCGGGCTCAGAAGACCCACGTTTAACCGGCCTTCTGACACATCGTGCTCTGTAAGCTGTCCCGGTAAATGTTTTACAACTGCTATTCCCCAGCAATCACCATCTGAGTATTGGTCGGGTTCAACATTACTTAACTTCGGTGATCAAATAAAAACCGATATATCAACGTGATATACGAATATCTGCTTGACCAAATATTTGAAACACGTTATCGTTCAGTGTACACTCACTTCAATGGGGAAGTTTAAATGCATTATTTGTATGTCTATTCTGTTTGTTTATTCGTAAATGGCATTTAACAATCTGCTGAATGGAAAATTCTAAACTAAATAAAGCAAAGTGAATGAAGAAATAAAAATACTTTGTGTCCTGAGCTTCCAAACGAAGACTCACGCACATTAACCTGAAAATTCAGATCAGATTCGACAGAGAGGTCTTAGTCTGCAATGGCGTTGTCTTCAAATAACACCTGCTTTCCATACTGATCGATTTTCAAGAAGCACCTTCGAACTATTAACAAATTTATGGATTTTTTTAAGCTTTCAGTGGATTTTTCCTTTGGCCTGAAGCAAATCTCTGTCTCCAGGTCAATTTTACTTGTCCAATCACTGCGAATCTATCTCCTTGTAACTCAACAACGTCTTTCGAAGGAGAGTTGTTCATACAGAAACTGTTTCTATGGATTTCGCTCTAAAGTATTAACACAAAATAAGGAATGTCGATCAAGCAAATATTCCACCATATTCTATGTTTCTCTTGTTATATTTTAGACAGATTTTTTTTTCAATTTCTCAGCCATAAGTAAATCTATCAAAGCAAAGAAACAATTGTTATTAACTCCGAAAAGCTGGAAATATTCTTGCTTTCTGATTTACGGTCTGTTAGTGCCGAGAAAAGGAAGCAGTTTTTATCAGCCATATTTGATGCGTGTTTAAGTCTGGAAATCCAATATTGAATTTTTCCTCTCCATGGATTTTTCTCGCTATCATTTAATCCTTTCATGTTTATGTATGGATTGATTCCAAGGATGTTTAATGGGTAATCAAGTGAAACTTTCCTTTCTATTGATTTGTGTCTGTCTCTTTCGAACTTCGAACCTTTTTTTTCCGACATGAAGATGCAAAGAAGATTCTCAAATTTTAACAGTTTTGTCTGAAGTGAGAAAAAAAAGTCAACATTTTATCGTTTTTTCTTTCTTTAAGAATTTTTTGTTGGCAGTGAAGATCAAAACGGTATCGTTGCGCTCGACATTTATCATGAGCTGTAATAATATCTAATCAGGCTAGATTTTTTAAAAAAAAGTCCCTCCTCACTCAGAAGTCTTTCACAATATAATCTTTTCCCTTCCTCATTTAGCCCTTTGCAGCTAAGCTTAGTAAATATCTTTAATTATTTTAATGAATTTGTTATAATAAGCTCAAGATAAGGCCAGAGAACCACTCAATGTAGAGTGTTAGTGTTATGACCAAGTAAATGTTTTTTGTTTTTAAAAGCATTTCACCCCATGCAGGCGGGAAGCCACTAGTACGCAAAAGGGGTTACAGAGAGTTGGCGCTAGAGCAAATAGGAGTGATAGAATAAAGGATGAAGAGAAGGATAGGGGATAGATCAGGGAAACAGGAAGAGGGGAGGGAGTTCCACAGGCGAGAAACTATTGGAGTAGAAGAGACGGCTACATTTAACAGTTTCGACAGTGAAAGGGTGTGAGCGAAATGCCAGCCTAATTGAACGCTTAAATTCATGAAGTCTGGGAACCAGCGAAAGCAGCTCCTCGGGGCAGTTACCATGAAAGTATTTGTGAAAAAGACAGAGGGAGAAATAACAAAGCAAGTTTTATAGATATATCATATATTAAACAGCAAGTACAACAGAAGAGTATTACACGACTAGTGAATGTGTGTCGGTTGACCCAGCATTCAATCTATTTGACTGTTATATTTACCAGCCTACCCACGAGGTGGGATGTGGCACAAGGCCGAGTTTAATGTAGGGCAATCCTAGCCCGTAGGCACGGTCAAAAATTCTCCATATAGCCTGTATAAAACAGGGTCGGGTAGATGTTTCTCGAGACGAGACTCTGCCCTTCGACATAGCCTCGTCTGGGGATCCTCTCTGTCGGAGGCAGAGAATTTTACCAGCACAGCTGGAACAGATCTATTCGACTGTTAATATTTAAGAGCATCTGCCTCCCCGGCCACGAGGGTGTATGTGGCACAAGGCTGAGTTTACCGCCGGTTCTCCGAGCCCGTAGGCTCCGACAAAAATATTCCCGTAGAACACGCATAAGCAGGTTCGGGTTTGTCTACCTCTCCGTACGAAACTCTGCCCTTCGGCACAGCCTCGTCCGGGTTCCTCTCTGCCTAAAGGCAGAGAGTTCAACAACAGCTACGAACAGTCACAGCCCGGTAGAACAATCTATTCGACTGTTAATATTTAACAGCCACCCCCACAAGGTGTGTATGTGGCACAAGGCCGAGTTTACCGTGGGTTCTCCGAGCCCGTAGACCCGGTCAAAAATATTCCCTTTGAACCCGCCGAAACGGGTTCAGGGCCTGTCTACCTCCCCGGACGAAACTTTGCCCTTCGGCAAAGCCTCGCCCGGGTTCCTCTTTGGCGAGGCAGAGTGTTCGACAGTTGAACAATCTGTTTGACAGTTATATTCAACAGCACCCACCACGAGGGATGTATCTGGCACAAGGCCGAGTTTACCGTGGGTTTTCCGTTCTCTTTTCGACTGTTCCCCCAAGGCCTTCGCTTCTACTAATCATATTGTCGGCGGAAGAGTCCAACATAGACTCTTTAGAAGGAGGACACCACAACAGTCAGTGTCACCATATTGTCAAAATGGTGGTGATGAATGAAATGCTTGATATGAATGAATGGTAGGAAGGAGAATAGATAAAAATTGACCCTTGACTTGAAGAAATTAAATTGTAGCGTTCTGGAAAGCATATTCGCGGGAGTATGTTCTAAAAAGTAGAAGTTCTTGTGAAAAAGCTATCTTTGTGTAATTTTCTCGTTATATTTGGAATATGGGGGAAATGAGGGTGATTCGACTTACTGGAAGTAGTATGGGCGTATCATAATTGTAAAGGTCTGAACTAGCGGAAGTAGAAAGTCTGAATATTTTCCAAGTAAATAGGGATATAATAGCAATAGATTTACGACGGTGAAAAAGAGTATCAGAAATATATTTTGTGCAAATAGCACCAAATGAACTAACAATGTTATCTATTTTTAGAAGACCAGAGTAAGATTGGTCGATCAGGTAGGGAAAAGCTAACAACTATTTTGTATAATAATGGCGGTACTAAGTTATCTGGACATGTGTAGTGAAAGTCAGGCACTTCTAAATAGAAATAATTATAACGATTTCATCAAGCGATACGTTGAAATGACTTCTTCATCGGCACGTAAGTAAACGAGATGGGTAGGTATTGCTGTTACCCGTCCGCTTATCTGAACCCTACAATTTGGAATATCGAGTGTTCAAATCAATCGCCTTTCACTTGAGTCGAACCACCCCACCTACCTTCTATCGATCTACAAAGTCTTCTCGAATAATTTCCGGTTCCTTACCAGTAAACCCATTGAAAAGAAGTGTTGTAGATAGGGATGGCGAACCGCAAACACGTAGAAATGAACAAAATGCGATCTAACCAGATACACGAACATTCGATTAACGCACATTGAATAGAAACATATATAAAGTTCCATGACACAAGAAGTTTTATTGATACACGCTGACTTTTGTGAATAATATAAGTAGTTGAATCAAACTATTTTGAAATTTGGGCACCACACACACGCACACACACACACACACATATATATATATATATATATATATATATATATATATATATATATATATATAGTCGACAGAAATACTTTTTCGCTGTATCACAGCTCATCAGTGTGGCTAGACATTCGGTATCTTCAAGGCGGGATCGAATATATATATATATATCATGGAGTCTCCTGTCGTTGATCGACGCGGGCTGTTAACCGGGAACCCTTTTATGATGTATGAGGGTCAGGCACCTTAGTTCCTAAAAACTGACAGCCAGACTACTTGCACATATCATTTGATTATAGTGGTGAAGGCTTGTGCAGAACCCGCCACACTTTTTGAAGGGCCGAATTAAAAAAACCTGGTGCACTATGAGCCACAAGGTCCCCAAACGACTCTCCGCAGGTTTTGAATGTCCCTCTCCTAGACCAGTTAACATCCAAGGCTATAGAACCCAGTCTTTCCTGCTATTTACCCATAGCTGCAGGAAGAAGAAGAGGATTCATGCCTTTCCCAAGGGTATTAGCACGTGAGTGAGTGTAATGGATTCGACTGGAATTCGAACTCGGCTCTCGATTCCTCAATCTGAACCGTTATTAATTACACTACTGTTTGTTCCACCACATACACACACACACACACACACACACACACACACACTCTCTCTCTCTCTCTCTATATATATATATATATATATATATATATATATATATATATATATATATATATATTATTATTATTATTATTTTTCGCAGATTTTATTCGTAAAAAATTTGCTTTGAAAGAAAGTTTATTAGGTTCAATATTATTTATGATGTGGCGTGTGAATATCCTCTCGTCTGACATAGGGACATGTATATGGGGCACAAAAATGAACCAAGTTCACTGGTCAATTGTTTTATATGTTGACGGTATTAAGCATTAACGTGTCTTCATATATATATATATTTATATATATATATATATATATATATACATACAGGGGTTCCACGTGCGAGTGCGCTCATGCGCGCCTGTATGTGTGTGAAAACTTTTGCTAATTTGATAAAGAAACAATCAAGGTTGATAACATTGAGACGGAAGGAAAGAAAATGGACATTCAGGCGACGCTCCATCTTTGTTTTTCGGTTGTCAAGATCTGAGATTTTGTGTCGATACATGTCAATCTTTAATCGACGAGAAAATTGTGAGAAGTTCCAATTTTAAGGAAGGCAAAGAACACGAGAACTGACAAAAAAAAAAGAAAGAAAAAAAATAGATGGACAATACTTAACTTGTGCGTTTGTGAAGGCAACATGAACCGTTCGTCTGAACCCTGACCTCAGATGACGTCAACGTATTTTCGCTTTTTTTTTCGTGTATTTTAGTTAGTCCGTATTTATGTGTGTGAGGGTAAATAAAGAGAGAGAGACTGTGGGGGGGACGTATACAAAGTTTAAAGCAAATATGACGGGGAATAGTTGAAGACAAGCAGAATGAATTGAAATTTAATGTCACGTATACCCAAAATGAGTAGGCGAGTAACAATGCGCCAACATATACGAAACACGTGACTGGATATGACTAAGTATTTAAACAAAAACCTTCAACTGATACCAAAGGGACACTTTAGTCTCCATATAATCATACATACAGGGTGCGATGGGTAAATTGTCACCATTTTATTTATTTTTAATTTTTCGCATGCGCGTTGTTTGTTTTTGATTTTGTCGACTGCAGAGTTTAGTCGGGTCAGTTGGGAACCATCTATGAGAAAAAGGAAAACCATGAAACTAATCACTCCGCCAGAAATTTGGAAGCGTGTTTGGACAGTGCAGAGGAACCAGAAAGAGTTGAATGACTCTAATGGTGATTGAGGTGTTTTAGCGTTATGCCTCCATTCATCTTCCCCTAGGTCAAGAGGGTGGCTGCTAGAAGACCCTATGTCTAGCAACAGGACTCTGCACCATGCAAGCAGAAGAATCCAGTCATAGCTGTCAGACAATTTCTGCGACCACATCACTCCTTACATCTGGCCACCTAACTTCATAGACTGCAACCCCCCTTGATTATCATGTGTGGGGTGCAGTTGAGCGAGAGATCAACAAACCTCCTTGTAACACCAAAGATAAACTGAAGGCCAGGGTTATGACAGCATTCCAACAAACAAAGAAAACGTCCAGTAGAGTTGCTGGAGATTCCGAAGTCGCCCGAATGCTGTGGTTGTAGCCAATGGGAATTTATTGAATAAATTTACTCTTTAGTATTTCAATATATTTTTGCGTAATTTTGGTCAATATATCTATTAAAATGATGTCAGTGTTATTTTCATTTTTGCGTCATTTAGACGACAATTTTTCCATCGCACTCTGGATAGGAATCAACACTGCATGGTGTGTGTGTGTGTGTGTGTGTGTGTGTGTGTGTGTGTGTGTGTGTGTGTGTGTGTATCTCAGTCCTCTTCATATCTATCTATCTATCTATCTATCTATCTCAGTCCTTTTCATATCTATCTATCTATCTATCTATCTATTTCCTGCTTACAACATCGAAAGCGTAACTTGTGACTAGTCAAGTAGTCTTAGCCACCTCTCAGTATCTGATATTTAGAACATCTACTCAACTAGTATCTGTCTATATTTCTGAGATGAGGCATTATGTACACTATTTACATTCCTCGGAGTATCATCCTCATCAGTTATCTCCTGTTAATTCCCCCATAAGTGACATAACTGATAACTGTCATCCATTAGGCATGGCACGTGGAACTAGAACAGTATACCCCAGCGAGCGAAATAAAATGTTCAGTTCGACATTCCAACCACCTGAAGAAGGCCAGAGCGTACAACGACCGAAACGTTGTAATAAATATGGCAACAAAGATGAGGATGATAGTCTGAACAATGTAAATAGTGAACTACTCTTCTTCTTCTTCTTCTTCTTCTTCGTCGTCGTCGTCGTCGTCTTCTTCTTCTTCTTCGTCGTCGTCGTCTTCTTCTTCTTCTTCTTCTTCTTCTTCTTCTTCTTCTTCTTCATTGCCATATTCACGACGTTTCGGCCTTTGTATGTTCCGCCCTCCAAGTGGGCGAAATAAAAGGTACGGTTCAAAATCCCAATCACCTGAAGAAAGGCGGAGTGTACAACAACCGAAACGTTGTGAATATGGCAATGAAGATGGGGATAAAAATCCGAATAATGTAAATAATCATAATACCTCATGTCAGGGATATAGACAGACTTTAAAAACCGTTCCAAAATACTTTTAAGACATAAAGTTATCTGTTTGCATTTCTTGGCAGGCGCCATCAACAATATTACTGTTATTTTTTATTAATATTCAGAGCATTGATTAATGTTATTGATTGATTATTGCGTTATCAGTCTTACAATATTTGCTAACATGTCGGACACCAAAATTAGCGCTAAACGCTTTTTTCAGCAGGGAATGTTCAGGTTTTGTTCACTAAATACAAGTTAAGTATTCGTCTACAGAAGACATTAGCTTCGTATACATCAGTCAGTCAGTTATGTGACATGCGTGATACACGCTTAGGGAATCATGTATATATCGATATATGACTGACGAGGCAGATTTTTTCCCGCAATATTTTACCCTTCCTTTCTGCGGTAGACTAGTTGCCATCAAAGGCTGCAGAACCCGGTCTGTCCTGCTATTTACCCATAGCTTGGGGGAGAAGAAGAAGATTCATACCTTTCCCAAGGGTACCAGCACGTAAGTGAATGTAATGGATTCGACTGGAATTCGAACTCGGCTCTCCGATTCCTCAATCCGAGCCGCTATAAAACGATTTTAAGAATTATTTTTATGCGATCTAAAGTTTCTTTCTTCTTGTTGAGAAATTATTTGGGGTGGGGGGTTGCTGATTAAAATATTTTACGATATGTAGTCAAAAAATTTATAACAACACTAAAAAAAACAAAATCATGAGAGACGAATCCATAAAGAAACATTCCACCAATATCTTTGCCTCAATGATCCACTTTTTAAAACTATAGATGCGCGTTTCGTCAAATATCAATTTTTTTTTTTTGTTTTTTATCCTTTTGAAGCATTTCACGCGAAGAAAGGCGATAGATGTGTATCAACGTGCGAAATGGCGAATAAAAGTATTTAGACCAAAATCAGACTCAGAGGTGCAATTCGCACTTTCTTTTAAGTCAGTCATCGATTGGACACCAAAATCACGTGGTCTCGGGCTGTTTGCATTTTGCCATTAAAACGCCACTGATCGATTTTATCGGCTGGTCGTCAATACTTGGCTGATGCAGCCAACTTGGCGCTTGACGTGCTGGAAGCCTTTAGCAAAACTAAACAGGAATATTTTTAAAACATGCATCTGCTTCTAAGACTCTGTTCTTCATGTATCGCATACAAAACACCCCCTCTCTCTCGCTCTTCCTTCTCTCTCTTTCTCTCTCTCTATCGCTAACTTTCTGTATACACATACACAGACGCACACACACACACACATATATATATACATACATACATATATATATGGTGCATAGACGCAGCAGATCATTATTCAAACAAATATTGTTAAATATAACAGACAACGAAAGTCTATTAGGTTTTAACTTGAGCCTTTCTAAGCGTCGTATAATGGTTTTATATATATTATAAATAAAGAAATATTGTAATATTATTATAAAGAAATATCCAAATGTTGAGCAGTTTTTGTCTTTATTTTCTCTTGAAACTAAAGCCACTATATGACACTTGGAAAGGATCATGATAAAACATAATAGACATCCGCTGTCGGTTATATTTAATATTTTTTATAATATATATATATATATATATATATATATATATATATATATATATATATTATATAGTCTTATTTCTTAGCTTTGTTAAGTATGGATTCATTGGAGGAATTGTTGGAAAGCCTGATTGTGGTATCTGTTTGATTATAGAAGGCGGGTGATTGGAAGATGTATGTATATAGAGTGGTTTTTCATTAGGTTTTCTATATGGTTTATATGTGCCTTTTCTTGGGTTGAAGGTAACATCTAGAAAATCTACTTCGTTTTAGGTTAGTTTTTATATTAATGTCGAATCCGTTAAAAAAATTTTTTTTTATTATTGCTTTTCTAGCTTTGTCTGTATTTTGTTTGTTACAGTTTCTTAAGATTATGAGACCGTCGTCCCTGTGGATTCCTGTGTCATTTCTATCTATTATTTTGCTTAGTTCATGTAGTAAGTAATACCTGTGATTTCGCAAGTCAGCACCATCCAAGCTTCCCTTATAGTATCAAAGATCCCATCTTTCTTTATAATTTCTTCTTCATTGTGAAATAGTATTGATTTACGGGAGTGTTTAATGATGTCGATTTCGTTTAGTTTTATTATTACATGTTCCTGAGCTAAGTTGATGGCCTTATCTAGCCTGGGTTCTGTTATGGATGGGTAAAATTCTTTTATGTCTAATTGTAGGAATTGGCAATTTTGTTTGTTTGTTATTTATGCTGTGGAACCAGTCAATAGTTACTTTAGTGTTTTTCTACTGGTTTACTCCTAACTTCTTCCTAAGTTCAGAATTAATTCTTTCTTTGTAGTATATATATATATATATATATATATATATATATATATATATATATATATATGACAAAAATGATAGAGAACGTGTAATATTCCCATCAGTGCCTCCTTCCTGAGATTCGGACAGTTTGTAGGAGAAAGGCATTGGTAAGTCATCTCATTGTTAGCGTCTTTGGTTTTCAAGCCCCAAAAATGGTACAGCATCAATTTCGTGCTATATTCTCTTTTAATGGCGTGTTGAATTGGGAACTGACAAGAAAAAAGACAAGAGATCGTATTGAGCACGATGAAAATTCTCTAACTATTTACTGACATTGACATAGTCTGACACAGGGTCACAAATATGGAACACAAAGAGGGAACAACTTCACTTCACTAGTGAATGTGGTACTACACATTAATATATACAGAAGTGATTTTGCATGCAAGTATTTTTGTGTGTGTGGGTGTGTGTGTGAGTGTGTGTTTGTGTGTGTGGGGGCGAAGACTAGTGAGTGTGTGCGTGTGTGATTGTGAGTTTATGTGCTTGGGTGTTGCTAATTTGATAAAGAAACAATCAAGATGGATAACAATGAGACGGAAGGAAAAAACATGGACATTCAGGCAAGTGTAATGACGCGACGCTCCATCTTTGTTTTTCGGTTGTCAAGATCTGAGATTTTGTGTCGATACATGTCAATCTTTAATCGACGAGAAAATTGTGAGAAGTTCCAATTTTAAGGAAGGCAAAGAACACGAGAACTGACAAAAAAAAAGAAAGAAAAAAAAATAGGTGGACAATACTTAACTTGTGCGTTTGTGAAGGCAACATGAACCGTTCGTCTGAACCCTGACCTCAGATGACGTCATTTCGCATTCCTTTGTTTGTGTTTTAGTGCGCGTGTGTATGTGTGTGTGTCCGTGAAGGGAGAGCGAAAGATAGAAAGATATATATATATATATAGGAATATAGTTAAAAAAATAAAGACGACAAATTAGGAAAAATAAGTTTTGCTTACCCAGGGAAAGGGAAAGTTGAATTAAAATTTAGAATCACGTCCACCCAAATGGTAGACGAGTAACGATACGAACATATACATTTATGTTTTGACTAGAAAAAGCTAAATATCTAAACAAAAAACTTCGATAGTTAACCAAAGAGGCCCATTATTCCATATCTACACACATACATATATATATAAGCGCTACACACACACGCAGAGGCACGCGCGCACACTCATACACACATACTCACGCACACACACACATATATGTATATATATATATATATATAGTGATTTTCCAAGCGTAACTTAGATGCGGTACAAGGCCGAAAGTAGGGAGCACCCAGTGAAAATTGAACTCACTACTCAGTGGTAATTGTTCTAGTGAGACAAGGACACTAACCATTAACCACCTCGAGGTGTCCAAGCTAGCTCGCTCTCTCTCTCTCTCTCTCTCTCTCTCTCAGTATAATATATATCTATATATATATATATATATATATATATATATATATATATATATATATATATATATATATATATCTCTTTTTTTCTCTCTCTCTCTCTCTCTATATATATATATATATATATATATATAGAGAGAGAGAGAGAGAAAGATATTGATAAAGAGACATAAACATTCGAAAAATGAAAATCAACATTGCATATTAAGTTTAGTTTGCATGCCTTATGGAATCATATTCAAAATAAATAAATAATATATATATATATATATATATATATATATATATATATATATGTATATTGACTTATATATATATATATATATTGATTTTACATATATATATATATATAATATATATATACATATATATATATATATATATATATATATATATATATATAATTACATGAATCATTTATACAAAAAACAAACATTATAAATTGAACTGCACCTATAATCGAAAATTATATATATATAGATAGATAGATAGATAGATAGATAGATAGATAGATAGATAGATAGATAATATTAGTGGTAAATATACACATACATATGCAAAATATATAAATATATATACATAGTCGCATACACATACATGTATATTTTTTGAATAAAAATTCCAAGAGGATAGAATCCAGGTAGACATCAATGTCCAGGACAGAGCAAGAATATAATAAAAAGGCTTAAACACTAATATTCCATGGTCTTAATTTATTCCATTGGAATCGTAAATACGATCTAATTCATTCATCAGACCTACAAATTTAAAAAAAAAAAAACAACTCCGGAAATAAAAACAGAATTTAGAGATATGTATATATATATATATATATATATATATATATATATATATATATATATATATATATATATAAATAACTAGACTCGTTTCGGAAAACCCTCGAATTTTTGATTTGTTAATCAAATCAATTTCGAGGGGAAAAAAGGTTTTAAAAAACGAAAGAGCTACAAACATGAACTTCTGCCGACAAAAAATCGCACAGATGCAGGTCTGAAGCCCAAAGAAAAAACCCCGATACGAGTAACAACTAACTAACAAAAGAGCTCAATACAATCGTAGAGCAAACCTAGATATACCTTAGTGAGCCAGACAAACCTAACTAGGTTTCACCTAAAGGATCGTCAGGGAAAGCTCGGCCGAGCTTTCCCTGACGATCCGTTTAGGTGAAACCTAGGTAGGTTTGTCAATCACTAGGTGTATCTATATATATATATATATATATATATATATATATAAAGCCAATATATCAATATAAATAAATGTGAATGTCAGTGTATCTGTGAGTAAATTGAAAACATTCCAGACCTGCAATCCTGAATTCTTGGATTCCACAGTTTCCATTACTGTGATTGTTTTAAGTGATTTATTTTGTAAGTGATTTTTTTACAAATTTATTTATCATATATAGAAATTTGGGAATAATCGAAATTACGAAATACAGGGAAAGTCACCCATGAAATAAAAATAATTATTTGCACGGAAAGTAAGGACCAACGTACATCAAACTGTCTTGAAACTAAGCGGCGGCAGAAGAATTATCGTTGAACTTTTAAAATGTAAGCTTAAATATTAATGCAATACTTAAATGCAGCGACCAGTAGATCACAGAGTTTTGTCTCTACTGAAGATGCCAGCGAAATTCGCAGTATTTCATTGCGAACATATCTTCACTTATATCGAGAAACAGCTGAAGAACATTGCATTGTTTCAAACATTACAAAAGTGCACAGGCCATTAAGATGGATTTAATGGTCATAAAAACTGTTAGGATTTTGATGTTTAGGGTAAAGTTCTGCTAGAAAGCTAACGACTAAATTGATCTTTAATAATAGCTGTCTTGACAACCTATTCCTCTTTCTATACAGGGGGAGGGAGAGGGTGAGAGAATATTGTTTCTGTATATATATATATATATATATATATATATATACAATATTATTGGCTTAAAATAAAGTATATATACATACAATATTATTGGATGAAAATAATGTATATATACATACAATATTATTGGCTGAAAACAATTTACAAAAACAGGGTGGTAGCACCTGTTAGGGTCCTAGTTATGGGCAAATAGTTACACCAAAACTAGGGTCAAAACACTATAAAAGTCTAAAAATCGATTTTTATAATAAAAATACCAGCAAGAGATTTAAAAATATATATATATATATATTACCAGCAATACATTTTGTAAAAAAAAATACCAGCGATACATTTGACTCTCGACGAAAACCACCTTACAAAAATACGCCAATGAAACCTTATCTGCAAATTGATTTCTTACAAAGAATACATATTCTGTTCATACCAACCTATCCTAAAAATCTTGTCGGCATTAAATAACCCATTGAGGTGTTGATTTGCCGTAAAACAAAATAAACGCAAACCCAGTTTACAAAATTTGACTAAATGGTTAACCATCTGTTTTAGATTTTTTTTTTTCTGATTAGGCCAAGAAGCTTTCAATATTCCTTCGTGTGTGTGTGTGTGTGTGTGTGTGTGTGTGTGTGTGTGTGCGTGTGTCGAAAGTGGGTAAATGTTTTGTAGCTTTGTTTTGTCTTGTTTCAACATTATTTGATGATGCCAGACAACAGTAGACTGGCGTATTGTCATGTCGCTTGCTTGCTTACACAAAGAGTTGAGGATGAAATAAGAAGATGGTTCAGTTAGTAGAAGTATCTTCGGATGAAGTAATGATTTTCAAGCTTGGCTTACTACAATAACGCGTATTTGTGGCCTTGTGACAAACTAAGCCAAGCTTGCTAAACAATAATAAGAACGTAGAATCCTGCCATATCAAGGTGGATGGGGTGAATAACTTTGCTCTTTTTATTATCCGATGATATCTTGCAAATGTATTAAAGAATTCTCATTGGATCGAAATTCTTATTTCATTTTTTTTTCTCAGAAAGCGATTTACACCAACTGAATTAAATTCACCTTCAGAATGTTTAAATAAAAAAAATGAACGAAATATGTAAACAACTCGGAAAAGAATTCAGTTCCATTTTCATTTTGCCTTTAGGATAACGAAATCTGTTTTTATTTTTATTGATTTTTCAAAAATAAAACACAAAATTAGAAATATATTTCATGATATGAAATATATAAAACAGGATTGATCACCTAAAAACAAAGATTATTTCGGCTTTCAGGTGTTGTTAAGTAACGACTAGAAGAGACACACCGTAAGTTCACTACCAAATATTGGTAGATTAATTGATCGTAGGTATGCTTGCATATCGGTAGATATATTGGTAATCGGTGGCAGGGTATGGAATCCCTGTTGTGAATCGATGAATAATGAGATGAACCATCGAAGAAGTCTGAAAGGGATAAAAGACGTATGGAATTATTCCAAGGACTCGCCTCTCTTTGGAGACCTTCATTTTTCTATGTTGTCTGCTATTTAATATTCACCTGGTAATTCTTGTACAAGGCAATCAACCACTCACATATAAAGTTTCCTATTTGTCAGTTTTAGTCGTCAAGTGGTGTTTGTTAAGGGTACCATAAGAAGAATAAACTGTGGAGCATTTACGAAGAGTCAATTGTTATCTAACAACTGCTTTGCCACGTCGCCATTTTTGCATAATTTTGGCTAATTGAACAAAAGAGATAATTATTAAATGAATTTCTTCATTGTTTGGCCATGGCTGTGTTTATCAACTTTGCATTGATTAGGGAATCTATTAGAATAGATTAGATTTTCAATATCGTTTACTGTAAAAATATCGGCCATTTAAATACAACCATATTCATCAATGGTCTCTCTCTCTCTCTTTCTGTCTCTGTCTCTCTTTCCCACTCCCTCTCTCCTTTTCGTTCTTTTTCTCTGTGTCTTTTTTCTCTTTCTATGTATCCTATTCTTTCATTCTCCCTTTTTATACATATTTCTCTTTTCCTCTATCAATAGCTTTAAATTATCCGATACTAATATATTTATTGATAACATCTCAAAGCACATATAAAGAAAGAAAAGTCAGAGAACAGAGAAAGAAACAGAGAAAGAGGGCAAGAAAATAAGCAAGAACAGATGTAATAAGAAAGAAAGAAAGAAAGAAAGAAAGAAAGAAAGAAAGAAAGAAAGAAAGAAAGAAAGAAAGCATGCAGATTAATTTCAGGCGGGGTCGGCCATTTTAAAACTCGGCAAGGAAAATTCCTCATACACAAAACTAAAAGCACTAAAAGGCTAACACTCTACTTTGCTAACTTAAACCAAGCTTAGCGTGACTTCTATTCTCTCTTGGATTTCTGTTCGCTTGTATATTTTCATTCATAAGTAAAAATTAATATTCGTATTAATATAATCAATATTGCAAATGAATGCTGAAAAACAGGAATAAACTAAGAATTCTTTTTTAGCATTTTAGTGTTTCAAATTTTTAAACCAATTTAAAACTAAATATGAATTGTCATAGAAAAAATCCGAATTTTTTTTAAGAAATTAAAAACAATTCCATCAGTCAATCCAATATTCACCAAGGTAGGGAAATTTTGAATACCAAACCTTGAAGAAGGCAAGTAGAAAACACTCCACTATCTTTCCTAAGAACCCATGGCTATGGTACTTCACGGACACAAAAAATAAATTTGTGGAGAATCAGGATGATCTACTTCCTGTGGGGACATTGTATTTAAAAATCATGCATAATGTAAATATATTAATAATTTTACTAGATAAATATAGTCAAAGCCCATAAGGAGATAATCAGTGGCGATGGCTTAACGTAACAGTTACCGACAGAGAAATTATTAGTTAATTTATTATAATTGAAAAGATTCAAGATCCTGTTGGATGATCGATAAATTTAAATTAAATAAAACATTCCCATTCTGTGTGTAAATTCGAAATATACTCCCTTTTTATTTCCGTTAAAATATTTAATTGTTATTCTAATTTTCGTAAATCTGTAAATGGGAATGCTGGACAGGAAAAAGTCTATGAAAAGAATTAAATAAAGAAAATCGTTAATCATCA